CAACTGAGAAAGTCCAATGATAATGATAATACTAGCAATCATTTACAGAATATTATTTTGCTAGGCATTTCAGATGATAATAAGCACTATAAGGGAAAAAGTAAAGCTGAGAGACGTGTAGAGAGTGTTTGGGATGAGGCTAGTTGCAATTTTAAATGAGGGTTATCTAAAAAGACTTCACGGAGAAGGTAAGATCTGTCAAAGCCATGAAGATGGAGAGTGAGCAAGCCATGTGAAAATCTGGGGGAAGAAATGCCCAAGCGAAGAGCACAGTAAGTACAAAATTATGGAGGCAGGAGACTACACAGCAAATATGAGGAACAGTAAGCAAAATCTAGAGCCAGATGTGTGGGTCTGGATCTAGGTCCTCCATTTCCTGATTCAGTAACCCTGAACAAATTACTTTACCCTCCCATGCCACACTTTACTCATTTTAAAAATGGGAATAATACTGGTGCTTAACACATAATATTGTCATGAGGACTAGATAAATATTTATAAAGCCCTTAATTGATGTCTGGAATATAGTAAACGCTATAATAAATATTACATAAAAGAAAATAAAAATACATAGTGTGACAGAGTGAAGGAGAGAAGCAAGTCAGGGAGCTAAAAGGGCAGCAGAGTATGTTGGACTTTGTATGAATTCTGGCTTTTACTCTGAATGAACTGGGAAACCACTGGAGGATCTTGAGCAAAGGAATAGTAGACCTAACTTATATTAACAGGATCGTTATACTTGTTTTGTTAAGAATAGACTGTAGGGAATGAGGGTGGAGGTAAGAAAACAAAAAGGTAAGCGAGTTCAACTGATGCTAGCCTAAAGGTACATGGTAGCAGAAGACTGAGAAGGAATCCGTTTATTGATTTTTTGAAGGGAGGAGAATAGGATGCCATGGACAGGACATGAAGAGTGAGGGAAAAATAGGGAGTCCAGAATAACTCCAAGATCTTTGGCCTAAGCAACTAGAAGGAAGACATTTTTGCTTAAATGGGAAGAGTAGAAGTGTAAAATGGCAATATAAGGATAGAGAACTTTTAAAATTTGAGATACATATTAAACATTCAAGTGAGAAGTCATAGAGGCAGTTGGATACAAGACTGAAGTTTAAGGGAGAGATTCAGGCTAGGGACATAAATTTTAGAATCATCATGAGTGCAAGAGTGAGTGTAAAAGTAAAGAGATCAGAAGAATAGTCCCAGAGGTACTTCAATATTTTGAGGACAGGAGATAAAGAGATTTCAGCAGAAAAAGAGAGAAGAAGTAAAATAGGAAGAACCAGGAAAGCGTGACTAAAGCATTTCACAGAGGAAGGAGCTATCAACTGTGTCACATGCTTCATCAAATAAGATGAAGACTGAATACCAACGACTAGATCTAGTAATGTGGAAGTCACTGGTACTACAAGTTCAGTGGAATGATGGGGAAAGCCTGACTGTGGGTTCAACTTCCAAAGAAAGGAATTGGAGATGTCTAGAATAAACTTTTTTTTTTTTTTTT